AGTGAGAGCATTCAGCATATATTAATCCAGTCCATGAAATTTACATTTTTTATTTTTACTGTTTGCTTTCACTGGAAGAGAGTGCAAAGTAGGCAAATAGTTTCGAAGTGTGTGGTCTTTATGATTTATATGTATTGCTCAGAACTACCGCTGACCAAACTTCTTGGTCTTGTTCCCATTTGTTACAGTAATTAAATATTAAGTTGTTATGAAAGGATTGTGCCCTTCCCTTGAAAGAAAAAAGACTGGGGCTACTCCACGATTCTGGGGCACAGCCGATGTTTTATTCAAACCAATGTGTAAAGGTACAGAAACTGTGTGCCAAGCTTATCCCATCTGGAAGGAATGTATCTGTTCTGGATCTGAAGCAAGACTGAGGGTCTCCTTCTCTTTAATGTATTTGGGAAGCAGAGTTTGACAGGGTTGGAGAGAGGAAAAAAAAAAAATCAGCACATGCTGTAGATACATTTGGTTGGCAGGAGAAGAGAGCCTGGCAGGTCAGTCAGTTCCCAAACACATCACCTTCCTTGCTGCAGCCTTTAATCTACATTAAGACGAGAGAATGCTTGTCCTTAAATGACCTTTGCATTGAGTCAAGTGTCGCACTGGAAACTTCAAAGTGTAACTGAAGACAAATTATGCAATAAATGAAAAAGTAATACTGTAACTTCTCTGTGGTTCCAAGCCTGCAAGGGACCAGCTTTTCTCTTTGAGCACACCCACTAATACCAGGGAAGCGTTTCAATATAGGGTAGGGGTGGACCTGCTGGAAAGCACTTCTGAGAAGAAGAATCTGAGGGTCTTGGTGGATAGTAAACTCTCCGTGAGCCACCAATGTGCCCTTGTGGCCAAGGGGCCAATGGGATCCTGGGCTGCGTAGGGAAGAGTGTGGCCAGGAGGTGGAGGGAGGTCATTCTCCCCCTCTGCTCTGCACTGGGGAGGCCACAACTGGAATCCTGCCTCCAGTTCTGGGCTCCCCAGTTCAAGAGAGACAGGGAACTGCTGGAGAGAGTCCAGCGTAGGGCAACAGAGATGATGGAGGGATTGGAGCATCTCCCTGATGAGGAAAAGCTGAGAGAGCTGGGACTCTTCAGCTTGGAAAAGAGAAGGCTGAGGGGAGACCTTATTAATGCTGACAAGTGTCAGCATTACCCCCAAGTTGTGGGTTGAAGGAGGATGGAGCCGGACTCTTTTCAGTGGTTCCCAGTGACAGGACGAGGGGCAACGGGCACAAACTGGAACATGGAAAGTTCCACTCAAATATGAGGAAGAACTTCTTTGGGGTGAGGGTGGCAGAGCCCTGGCAGAGGCTGCCCAGGGAGGGTGTGGAGTCCCCTTCTCTGGAGACCTTCAAGCCCCGCCTGGATGCTCCTGAGTGATGTGCTCTGGGCAACCCTGCTTTGGCAGGGGAGTTGGACTGGGTGACCTCTAGAAGGTCCCTTCCAACTCTGACAATTCTGTGATTCAAGCACATAAACAGAGACCTACGTATGATTGCACAGTGTTTTACTGAGTAATTGCTTGCTGATTCTGTGGGTGAGTGGAGAGACTGCTGCAAATGGGAAGACAGAGGGGAGAGCAAGGAGCAGCATATGAAAATTAATCTCTTTTTAGAAAATGTTGGTGATACGTTTCGAAGCTTTGCTTGAAAATCCTGGTTTGGCTTCTCACGGTTTTTTGTTTACAGACTTCTGAGGTTCTGCACTGTCCACAGCTGGTCCCAAAGATTCGTTCAGCCTTCACACAAGGCTGCTGGCTCCTATGCCAGCCTCGGGAAGGAGCTCAGAGGAGTGTTTTCTCCCTTAACGCCGTCTGCGAGCGCTCCCTGTTGTGCTGACAAACATGTACCTTACAGAAATACTGTATCTAGCCTTTCTAAAAGGATGGCGTCTTTCCAAAATCTTAAGCGAGCTGCTTCGTGATGCCAGTTGGAGCAATCAGCCTGTTGCTCTGTGAAACCAGCAACAGTTAGAAGGCTTTCAAAAGTTACTCGAAGCCCTGCTCCCGAACTCACCAATATATTGTGATGACTCACAAGCCCTGTACTGTGCATCATTCAGTGTGAATGTACAAATTATCTTCTTAGAAACCCCCAAACTTTTTATACCGTACTGAAAAGCTGTGCCTTGGGGTGCTTTGCGCTCTCTCTCTGCCTTTTCCATGAATAAGAGGTGGACTTATTTTTTTCAGTCTGGTTTCTGTTTCTTGTCTTCGTGGAGTGATGTCCCATTGCTCAGGATACCACATGGTTGTGGGCAGGTTAAATCGTGCTCGTCCTCTCCAGAATCTTATCAGAAGACTCATTCTTCAGAAAACGGAGGAGGGAGAAAAAAGACTTTTGCCTTGTGTGTGTGGTGCCTTTTATTGCACTAATGTGAAATGATTCAATGTGATGGACAGCAGTTTATCAAAACAAAATCTCATTAAAATCTGTCTGCACTTTGCCCTTACTCTCCTTTGTATAATTAGATTGTGAAGCTTTCTGTGACCAGACAGTAACCTGTGGTAACCTGTAGTATGTGTACATTTATGGGTGATGAATAAAACCATTGTTATCACCCTTAAATGTTGGCATCAATATTGTGCTAATAACATTTGGAAGTTTCTGCTTTATCAGCAGCAATGACTGGCAAATAATCAGCTGTTTTGTAAGGGGAAGCTTAAAATAGCAGCCAAAGACATTTGAGTTAAGCTTCATGGAAAAAGACACTGCCGCATTTATTACGATACCGTTTTTGTTGTGTAAGGATGACATGATTGTTGCTTTAGCTTTTTAGACATACAGGGCAATTAAGAATAATCAGTTTTCCCACACATTCCGCAAAGCAACTGAAGCACAAATGCTAATAACCAGACCCTTAAATTTAGAGTGACTTCCGCTGCTGCCTGGGCAGCCCACGGGTACAGATGCGTGTTTCATGGTGGTATGCGAGCTATTGTGAGATTGCACTCTTCTTACCCAGATGCCAGTCTCAAAAGAAGTTGCTGCTAAATAGTAAACTCTTTCAGATTTGCCTGTACTACCAATTTAAATATATTTTGGAGTGCGGCTGTGGATAGAAGTCCATATGACATGCACTGTGGGCTTTGCAATCTGTGACAGGCATCCAGACGAGAAGTTGAAAGGAATGTGTAAAAGAATTTCTAATTTGTGTTTACTGGAAGTAGTAGGTGGTCGCACCAATAAAAAACTAGTTTGTGTTCCGTACGCACACAGATCCGTGTAGTGTTTACCCCATAGTTTGTATGAAACGTGTGTGGCTGGTTTTAGAATTCAGAGCATCAGCAAAGACAGGTCAGGATTTGGGTAGGGTGTTCAGAAAACAGATCTTGCCTGTAACTAAAGGTAGTAAGTTTATACTGACAGTATTAATGCATAACTATTCCTACTAAAAGTCACGTATTTGGTGGGGGAAGTTTCTTAGATATTCTTAGATCAGGCTCTGTCATGATTGTTTTAGACAGAAATCTGCATGAACAGTTATATCTAAAAATTGTTTATGTATTCGTATACAACTTTATTTTCTGTATTCTTTTCCCCATTTTTTTCTGTGCTCGTTGCTTTCCTCAGCGTGAGTATGCAATACCTCTATATTCTGCATGCTTCTAGACTTTTACTGTATTGGGCCTAAATCTTTTGCATGCTTAGGATTAAACGTTTGTTGAATTTCATCTTTGCTTGCCAAGCATCTTAGACTGAAGTGCTTAATTAAATGTGTAAAAAATGAATCGCTAAACTTTGTGACTGACCAATACCACTTATCAGGAAAAAAAAACACAGGGAGAGCAAACTGATATCCTAAACTATGGTGTACAGTTACTTGCATTTCAGTGGACATAATTTTCCACATAAAATTTTAAAGCTTTCCCTATACCAGATGTGGACATAGTTGTATCTGTACGAAAGACTGAATGTTGGGATGGCATCTTCCTGTTTGTGAAGAACAATAAGCCACAGTGGTGTAAGAAGACTTTTTATTATTAAAGTGTTCCTACACCAGTGAGTTATTTTACCAAAATTGATAGTAAGAATTAACACCTTTAGATCAGGACATGACAGCTCATAAAAAAAAAAGTGATTTCTGAGAATGAAAGATGAGTTTTGCTCTCTGCAAGAAGAGCATCACCATTAGTGCATGAGCCTTTACTGGCCTCTTGCGCTGAAGTCAAATTAATAGCAGAAGAATTTTTCCCAAATGCTTGCAAAAATTGTTTTTGTGATACGTGTGACTGAAACAGCAGTTACACACCCTTGTATAAGGGAGAGGTGTGGAGGAAAGGGGAATCGACTTGCATTATCCAATTTTAGAAGATGCCCTGACACCATGGTAAAAATCGAGGATGATGCCTATTACAGATTTTCTTTTTTCTTGTGAAAATCTTAAGTGGAGATGATTTAGACTGAAATGAAAGCTGTTATGTCCTACCCAGTTAAACGTTCTGATCACCATGAAAGGCCACTGTCACGAAGTCAAAAGGAAAAGGTCTTCAAAGCTGGAAAAGAAGTCCCATTTTCTCCAGGAGCTCGATCTTGAGACCACAGAACAAGGAGATAGCTTAATCTCTAGTTGAAGAACTGGAAGGATGTGGCCCTATCCCTGTCATCCCCATGAGAGTCTCTCTAGCTTGTCTTTGCTATTTGGCAATTATTTTTTTGGCATTTTTGGTCAGGGTCTGTGACACCTCAGTGCAGCTGTCAGGCTAAGAGTAAAGCTGAATAAATAGCTCCTAGCAAGTAAGTGTTATCCTAGTAAATCCTTCTCAGTCCTTGTGAGCGTGGGACATGTTTGCAAAGTTTCAGGGTGCCCCAAGACAAATTTTCAGCAAATAAACTGTCAACCAAGATAACTTCTGAGCTCCAGAAAAACTCTAGAAGAACTCTAGAAAAATCTAGGTGTTTAAGGAAATAATTTGAACATTATTTACAAAGTTTTCACTTTAAAAACGTGCTAATATTTTATAGTTTAGTTGCAGCTGATCATCTGTCTTTGTTCTTCCAGGCTTTTAAGACCAAGGATGGCTACATCGTGGTGGGAGCTGGAAACGATCAGCAGTTTGTCACCGTGTGCAAGGTAATGGTGTGTTAGGTGACAGTACAGAAATGTGTCATGGTTTCCATTCTGACTAGGAAAATAATTACTGTTTGCTTCACAATTCCCCTTTTTTGTGAAAGTAAGTAATGAGTAGGAATTGTAACCCTGGGGTTCTACCTGGTAGTTTCGGGGACTGATAGGGGTTTCTGTGCTTTGCTTCTGTATTCGGAACATGCCGATTCCCAAACCTGTGGGTGTTGACACCTACTTTGGAAGCCTGTGCAGCTGCAAATCAGCAAAAAAAATGAACAAGCTGACCACCTTCCACTTCTGGAACGGTGAATGTCATGAAAGTCATACCCATGGCTTTTCCAGGAAGAAATGTGGCACTGTTTCTCTATAAAATACAGGGTAGGCACAGCCGTTAACAAAGCAAAGCTGAGAGATGGATGGTTCTTGTGCTTCCTTAATCAGTAGCCGAGTGCGTAGTCCTTTCTAATACAAGAATGTGCTGGTCTGTGCTCACAGAGAAACTTGTGGACTTGTTAGAAAAGAAATATATTACAGGACTGTGGGCTGGCTTTATGATGGTGCAGAGATACGAAGTTGAAGAACAAATCAGCAAGGACTGATGCTGCGTTCAAAATTTGGTATCCTCATTACTTTGAGGTGATGGGACGTGACTGGCAATCCTATTTTCACAGGGGGTGACTTGGAAAATCATAGAATAGTTTTGGATTTTTACATACTCTTTTCCTATTGTTTTAGTAGTTGGAATTGCTTTTCCGTGGACAATGAGTACCTTTTAAAAGTGAAGGAGTGGTTGTAGGGAAACAATTGTTTTTAAATAAAGTGTAGCAACATTCCAAACAGAAGACCCCAGTAACACATAAGATGGGACAAGAGGAGTTTGAATATAGCATTAGACAGCATTTTTTAAAATGAGAGTCCTGCCTTTTCCCTGCCATTATGTTTTTTCTCTGAGAACTTGCATATTTAGCCTAAATTAATGAGCTGGGAGCCTCAGGAAATTGAGCATTATTTTCCTCCGTTTGTTCACATCAGACATTTTCATGGATGCTCACAACTAATAACTGGAAGATGTAGCAAGACGACAGTGCCATTGTGATTCCCTCTCAGTGTAGCTTGGGCTACGTGTCCCCACCTTGCTATCTGGAGGGATCTGGTTTCATTTGCTTGAATCAGCTCTCTTAATAGAGAGTTAACCTCTTCAAAGTTTTCTCAGTGGGTTTTCTACATACAAGTGTCCAACCACAATAGCAGGATCGTTATCTTAACGTGAAGGAAGACTAATGACTGAGTAAGTGTCTACCTGCCACAGCTCAGTTTTCTCAAAGACTCACTGGTTCACAAAGGAAACCTTTTCAGAAAGTCTCAGGACACGAGATTACATAGAGATATAATTGAAAAAGACAAATTAGAATCATATCATAGAATCATAGAATCGTCTAGGTTGGAAGGGATCTTAAAGATCATCTAGTCCAACCATCAACGTAACTGACAAAAAAATAAATAAGAAATAAGCAACAAAAAATCACTAAACCATATTCCTGAGGACCATGTCAACCCATCTTTTGAACACCTCCAGGGATGGTGCCTCAACCACTTCCCTGGGCAGCCTATTCCAATGCTGGATAACCCTTTCAGTGAAGAAATTTTTCCTAATATCCAATCTAAACCTCCCCTGGTGCAACTTGAGGACGTTTCCCTTTCTCCTATCTCCTGTGTCATATCTCCTGTGACAAATGAAGAACGATGT